AATTGTTTTAACAATCTTGTGTTTGTGTATGCTTGTGTATGTGTGTTTGTGTGTGTGTGTTTGTGTATATTTGTGTGTGTGTGTTTGTGCATGTACGTTTGTGTATGTGTGTGTATGTTTGTGTGTGTATGTTTGTGTGTGTGCGTTTGTGTATGTGTGTCTGTGTGTGTATGTTTGTGTATGTTTGTTTGTGTGTAAGTTTGTGTGTGTATGTTTGTGTGTGTATGTTTGTGTGTGTATGTGTATGTATGTTTGTCTGTGTGCGTTTGTGCGTATATGTTTTTGTGTGTATGTCTGTGTGTGCATGTCTGTATGTGTATGGCTATGTTTGTGTGAATATTTGTTTCTGTATGTTCGTGTATGTATGTTTGTGTGTGTATGTTTGTGTATGTGTCTTTGTGTGTGTATGTTTGTGCGTGTATGTTTGTGTGTATGTTTCTATATGTGTGTTTGTTTACTTGTTTGATTATATATGTATGTGTTTATTTGTATGTGTGGGTTTGCTTGTTTCTTTGGGTGTGTTTGCGTGTGTGAATACGTCAGGAAACAATCATCGTGATTGTTTTTGTTTTTGTTTCTTATTGATTGGTTGATTTTTTTGAGATTATCATTGATTGTTACTGATTGTTATTAATGCCATTCCTATGACAGTTACGTGGGAGAGAGGGAGAGAAAGAGAGTGAGGGAGAGAAAGAGAAAGAGAGAGGAGGAGCAGAGGAGGAGAGAGAGAGAGAGGGAACTGAGAGAGAGAGAGAGACGAGAGAGAGAGGGGAAGAAGAAAGAAAAACAAAAAAAAAAAGGGACAGACAGACAAACAGACAGACAGAAAGACAGTACAGACAGAAAGACAGACAGACAAACAGACAGAAAGAAAGACAGACAGACAGAAAGACAGAAAGACAGACAGACAGACAGAAAGAAAGACAGTCAGACAGAAAGAAAGAGAGACAAACAGACAGACAGGTAGACAAAGAGACATACAAACAGACAGAAAGAGAGAAAAGGAAGAAAAATAAAGCGAAAGAAGAGTCCAAAGCCCCATTTCTGACTCACCAAACTGCAATTCACACACGCACACACACACGCACACAAACATACACACGTACATACCATCGCACAAACATACAATATATAAAACGTACATACCCCCTCTCCCCACCCAATCCCCCTACCCCCATATTCCTCATTGCTCTGCACGGCACCACCAACAACACCCTACACCCTCCCCATACCCCCCCCCCCCTCACTAGGCACCACACATCCATTGTGCATCTCATTCCCCATGCAAACCCTCCCCCCCCTTACCCCATCCCCCCAAAATACCCCCCCCAAAAAACATAATATAATGATAAATAATAATAAATGCATCTACTCACCATACCCTCCTCCCTAACCCCCCCCCCAAGGCACAAACAAACACACAAACATCATCTCACCCCCCACCCCACCTCCGCCTTCCCTCCCCCCACTCCATCCCTTCTTACAGCACCCTCCCACCCCTAAAGCACAAAACACACAAACATCTCTCCCCCCCCCTCCTACCCCCCCCCCTAAAAAGCACAAACACCAAAATTCTACCTCCTACCACCCAACCCCTTCCTCCTCCTTCCCTCCCCCTCCTCCTAAAGCACAAACACACAAACATCTCACTATCTCCCACTCCCTCACCCAACCCCCTCCCCTCTCCCCCACCCCACGCCCCAAGCAGACAGCATGCAAGTATAGCAAAGCAAGGAAGGAGAATGCGCATTCCTCTTCGCATTTATTTCAGTGCCAAAAGAAACACTCATTTGGCACCGGCGCGGAAAACACATAAAGAAGGCTGAACAATATATATGTGTCTGTGTTTCTGTGTACATATGTATATATAGATACATACGCACGCGTGCATACATAGACACATACATACACGCACACACATATACACGCACACGAACAAACGAACAAGCGTACACACACAAACAAACACAAAAAACACACAGAAACAAACACGGACACTCACACAGAGAATAAAGTTATTAGATAAATATCTCATTCTAGATAAGAGATAAACAGATAGATAAAAATAGATAAAGAAACAGACATACAGACAGATAAATAGAGATAAACAGACAGACAGACAGACAGATAGGGATAAACAGACAGACAGACAGATAGATAGAGATAAACAGACAGACAGATAAATAGAGATAAACAGACAGACAGATAGATAAACAGAGACAAACAGACAGACAGACAGATAAACAGAGACAAACAGACAGAAAGACAGATAGATAGATAGACAGATAGACAGACAGATAAATAGAGATAAACAGACAGACAGACAGATAGATAGATAGACAGATAAACAGACAGATAAATAGAGATAAACAGAGACAAACAGACAGACAGACAGATAGATAGGGATAAACAGACAGACAGACAGACAGATAGATAGGGATAAACAGACAGACAGACAGATAGATAGGGATAAACAGACAGAGAAATAGAGATAAACAGA